TTAAAAAGTGTAGAAGATAGGTTTGCCAAAAGAATCAGGTTCAACTAAGAAAATATGTACACTGCTTTGACTCAGTAAACTCATACTCAGTATGGTTCATCTTCTTCATATTTACTTTTGCCCATATTAGAAAACAATTAGCTTACTAAACAAATTTGAGTATTTGGGAAAAAGAATCTACTTTGAGTCTCTCTCATTTGACTAAGAATTACATGATATTTGATAAGCTTGTTTAAAAATGGACATATCCAAATATTATTGTAAACACCCATTGATTTGTTTTACCTGCAATATAAGTATTTTACTTAGTTGGCTTACATAGTAGCTAATAATATTTGTTAATGTAATTTAACTGCTGTGAACCTTTACTGAACAAATATTGAAATTTATACAAGTCAAAGAAAGAGAATCTCTAATGACTTTTGTAAAGGCTTCCATTTAATAGTTAAGGAGAAAAGTTTATATGACATACCAGATGCAATTAACAGTAGATTTTACATTTAATAAAAAGAAAGAAGCATATGTATTTGCTTTATTCATTCCATCATAATTTGCATTAGAGCTGTGGGTGTTTAATGAGCAAATTCCAGCTAAAATGCTATATTGATTTTCTAAGTGAACTTTGTAATAGCTATCTACCTTACAAAAGCTCTCTGTTTACAATTGTTTTCTTTACTAAAAACTAAAAATGTTTTAGAATTGATGAGTTTAGCATAATGATTCTTTTAAAATAAAGAGCTCTTTTAGAGTATGCAGGGATTTTAGTTACAAGAAGAAAGATGTTATTAAATTATTCCAAAGCAAATAAAGTTTATGCAACTAAGTAGTAATGTCATATTTATATATATTACAATGTTTGCAAGCATTGGAAAATAATCCGTTTTTCTTAATTTAACACTATGGGATTTAAATATTTTAACTCTTGAATGTCATATGAATATGAATTAGTAAATGACACAATTCATTTTAGCTTAATACTTGACTATTCATGCTTCATTTTTGTGTGTCATTTTCTTGCTTGAAACATGAGTTCTATAAGAATTTGTGTTTCTTGTTGGTCAGGCCTCAAGATAAACAGGATAGGGTTGGTTCGTGCGCCATTGGAAGGTCTCCAAGAAAAACCTCATGGTGTCGACCAGAGCAGTTGGTGACTAAGTAGCTGGATCACTTTTTTCATTGGATCAGGCATCAAGCCAGTGTGCTGGTATGGGGCTAGTATTTTGCTGGATATGCCATATCTTGAATGGGGCTTAGGAGCCTGACTTGTTACTCTCAATTACTTTTTGCCTGGCATTTTTAAGAAGCATTTGGATGATTATCTGGATAGCCTTTACTCTTTTTAATATGGAGGATTTTTATGTCACACTCTCTCACAGACTTTTCATTGGACGGGTTATACTTCACATACTTTCCTAAATATGACACAGGGTTTTGATTTGCTGCTGCATTGCAACCCAAAGGTGCACGTATTTCAGTTGCTTATTTAAAGAATCTTGTGATCCTTATGGTCCTGAACTTTTACTTGTGACTCATTCATAACTCAGTCTGAATGGTGAACGTTATTGTTAACATCATACTTCGGGCTACCTGCAATTGTGTAACTGTTGTAATATTCCATATAGTATTAAAAAAGGAATGTGTAAAGTATTAAATAGTCAGAAGTTTATAGGCATTGGATAACAGAAATGTCTAACCTAAATTCAGCAGAAGCTTTGGCTGGAAGGAATCAGGTGAGTTAGCCTTCTGTGGATTGTTAAAATGAGTTAAATGAGGACTTTTTAAAGTATTTTTTACATTTCTTGTGGTAATTGTCAGTATTGCTACATGGTATTGAAATGCCATGTAGCTAAGTATCTGGTTTTTTCTTTTTTTTAACTTCGATTACCATATAGGCATCTTACATGATTTTCTACACTCTTCCTAATCAGTTTTAATGTGAAAAAGTTAATTTGCAATATTACATTTAAGAAATAGAAGCAAAAGCCAAAGACTTGTAATTGATATGGAACTACTGTAAATTTTTTTTTTAATGTAGTTGGTGGATCTGGTTGTTGGGATATTTACTCCAATGCCTTAATTTAGTAGAAGGATAAGAAAATAAGAAAGAGTTGCTCAATTTAAATCCCTTTTCCATAGCCAATAGTTAAAAGACGGTATTTTGTAATGGACCTTTGGGTGGGGGAATGGTTTGCTGTTCAAGGCAATTAGCCTCTGGGCTGCTATCAGACATGGTAAGATTTGAGATAAGCAGGATGTTTAAGTAACTTAACAAATCTCTTTTTCCTAATGTTTTCATACTGTTATATATATATTACTTTGGTTTAAGGACAAATAAGCAATAATCTTGTTTTGACTGTACAGGCTTTTTATTATTATCACTGGCTATGGTTCCTCAGAGAGGGAATTAGATATACCAAAACACAGTCCCTCTAAGTGTAGTTATACACTTAAGACCCATTGTAGCAGTCAGCAAATTGTGGGTTTCCATGCTGAGGTGGGGACATTGTAGGGTCGGACAGAAAGGGATGCACTCAAAGAAGTTAACTAATCTGGAAACTAATTAGCCCCACAACAGTAATACGTGCCGAATCTTCAGCTATTTTAGACAGCTTTCTATTCATTCCTGCAATTGTTTTCATTATGAAAATTGCATAATGTTTCCGCTTGCAGCTTTAGGGAAAGGGTTCTCTCTGCAGTATCGCTGGCATGATGCTAGGTATACTGACATAATTTACTTGAAAAACTATAGTAAACAAATATATTAAGGTACGGACAGGTAATAATTACTATACAGAACTAAACTGCTTGCGTATTTCTGATCCAACCGGGACATAGAAGTTGTATTCTGGTTTACCCAGGCAGTCAAGCCTGAGGAACTAGTTCCCCTGCCATCACAGATCTTAGGAACCTAAGTGGAAGTCTGGGGAGCTGAAATGCACAGCCCAGCCCATACAATTTCTTCTTGCTGAGCCACCTACCTTTGCAGATATTGGACTCATCCTCTGCCAGTGCTGCAAACTTATTCCTGACTACCAATCTGTGTGCAGGCAGTTTTGCAGCTGGTTTACTTATGCCTTAGTTTTTCCATTCCACATCAAGCAAAGCTTTCCTGTTGCAAACAGGGCAAATAGATCAAATAGAATTAAATCAGTGTTTGTTAAATTTTCTGTACATTACAAGATTTGTGCTTCTGATGTTTTTTTTTTTTTTAATCTTTTTGTGATGCAACTTGTTCCATCTCTGGCCTGATGACTAGGCTTGCAGCTCTTCTGCAGACTTTTGTAAGAGGAGGGACTGCACTCCCTGAAGTGACCTTTAGGCTTTCCCTGTTGTCTTTTGTCCAGTCTGCTGTTATCATGCAACCTTTTACTAGATCTGCAAAAAATGCTTCCTTACTCCTCAGCAACACTCTTCTCCCCAGCTTGAGGACAAGAGAATTGCTTTCCTACCTTGAACATCTTCCTAATTCATCTCTCAGCGTTCTTTATCTGTTCATCTTCTCACTCATCTTACATCACTGCTTATTGGAGCTGCTTGTGAACTGTACTAAAACTTACCACTTTCTGTATTTCGGTTGGGATGATTTGGGTTTTTTTCCAGTACTAGTAATGTGTATTTTGTGCCAGTAATATAGCTGCTACCCAAATGTACTACTATGTTCCTATTGTTCCATTCTGTCAAGAACCATAAGGTGTTTTATGTATTATCACACTGTGAAGTTTTTGTACAGTAATGTACAATGGTGAAGTAAGAGTAAACTAACCTATAAAAACAACCAAGTTGATGTCAATTGAGGCAAGAATGGAGGGGATAAAACCTCTGTCCTAAAGTGAAGAGGAAGCCTTTCTTTGAGATATTAAATTAATGACTTGAGCAGTGGTTCAGAGAGGAGCAGAGTTCTGAAGGAGGTAAGGAAGCCCAGCAGCAATACAGAGGGTTCTTGAGAAAAAAATTGCCAGTATTTGAAAGGGACCGTAGTAGGAGACTGTGACTAAACACCAGCTTGGCAGACTAGAAGAGGAGCATGGGGAATACTGGAACCTGCAGATGTCAGTTGAGTTTTTTGGAGGTGCCTGTGACAATCAGGGATGATATAGTCCTCTGTCTATGTCCAGGAGTGACAGCAGTCTTGCTATGGCATCCTGAATGTCCCTAGACATTTCAACTGCAAGGTTTTATGATGACTGTGAGGAGAGATTTGCAGTATTGCAGAGGGAAATGATGAAAGTATGAATAAAGATTTTAGCGGAGGCAGGGTCGAGGTAAGGATTCTGGCAGTGTGCCAGAAATGGTGTTAGACATATTGACAGGGAAGAGGCAGGAAGAAAATGTAAGCTCAGGATGAGGAATGACTTGAAGGTGTTAGTTTGCTCCCAAGGATAGACAGTAAATCTTAGTTTATTGGCACCTAATGCTCCAAGGTCCATGTATGCCGTAACAGATAATATAACAGTATATTACACAATAAAGTAAAGGCTTGGCAGAGAAGGAGAGATGCCAGCTGTGCCATTCTTGTGATACCAGAGACAGACTATGAAAATATTAGAATTTTTAATATTTAATATCAGTGTGCCACCCTGATAAGAAGCAATGTGATGGCAGAAGTAGTTTTAATGGATCATTACTTTTAACTCTGTGTCCTAGAAGAAACCTATTAGTGTGTCATATGATTCTGAGCTTTAAGAATTGCTTTTCTGTTAAGCAAGTTTTTAGAACAAGTATTTAGAACACAAAGCAAATTACTTCCTTGCCCTGTTTGATTATACAGGGGTGAATTTGAGAACACATAGCTTTATTTCATTCCTTAAAGTATTCATTTTAGCAATCAACACCTATTTAGTGTTGTGTCTGAAGAGTAATATAGACCTTACCCAAAATAATCCGAGGTCAGTGGAGGAATGTTGATTTTTAGGAGATGCTGGCAAAGGCCCATGTAAGTGCATCTAATAGTGTCTTTTACTGTCAAACTTGTTTGTTAAACACACTTGTTACTTTTGCAGCTCTGGTGGAAGAAGTTTATTCTGCTCAACAGGAACGTGACGAGGCTGTCATGGCAAGGCTTAGGTTAGCCAATGAAGAGAGAGATGAAGCATTTCTACGAGTCCAGCGTTTAGAAGAGTCTCTTAAAGAGTATGTATACATTTCCTGCCCTGTGCAAAAAGATTGTTGTATCAGTCTGACTGTCATAAAACTGCTCGACAGTGGTTATATAAGAAAACTTAGCACAAACTTCTCTATGACAAAATACCAGGCTAGTGCTAGTCTTACTGTGTTATTGGTTAATTTGTTAGACATCCTATAAGACAGTATTTTTGTCTGGAGACTGAGAGCAAGGTGAATAATTTTGGTCACAAAAATTAAAAATATAATCAAAAGCTTTGGTATTGATTTATTCAGGGATAAATAAGACAGATGAGACATTTTGTAGGGGTCTTCTGACACAGAGTACCAGAATGTCAGTCAGAAGTTGCAGTGTATAGGAAATCAATCAAGCCTTTAAGCCCACTAGACATTTCCTTCAGCAAAATTTCTACTAATGATGTGGTGACGTAGTAAAAGTATATGGGTTTTTTCTTATCTTTAGTGTAGGAGCAGTTTGTAATAAGGGTATAATTAATACTTAATAGAGTTTTATATATGCCATGTTAACACAACAGAAACAGGCAATCTCATTTTAAACAAAACTGTTAAGTCAGGAGAGGAAGATCAAGAACGGTTTCTTTTCTCGCTTTGGGATATAGGCAGCTTTGAAGCTACAGTTTGCCTCTCCATGTAATCCTTCTCCATCCGAGTTGTGATCATCTTGGCTACTGTCTATGGTAGTCCCCCAAAGGGTAGTTCTCCAAAGTCTGGAGTGGCTGAGAAATTCCTCCTGTTTTTCTGCCAAGAGAAATACAAAGCAAACAGAGAAGTTTTTCATGGTAGGAGACTGAATAGGTGCAGTTATTAGTTAACTAAATGGCAGACGATTATGTTTTAAATAATTGATTCTACTAAGAACACTCTTTCCTCTTTATGGCAGAAAACCAGTTGTCTTCTTTCGGGTATTTTTGTAGGTAAGGCCAGAGAATGTTATCTAAATAAATTTCAATAGTCTGCACATAGTTTGTGCACCATTACTCTGTGGAATTTACAAGTTGCTTGAGTTTGTCACAGCCTGTAAGTATGACTCAACAGCAAGATTAGGAGATTCCATTCCCACAAGAATTAGTGCATAATTTGTTGGAGTAAATGTCTCTACAGAGCCCGTTGTAGGTGTACGTGTATCTGAAATCTTGCTTTGAGCAGCAATCTCTGAGGAAATTACAAATGTGCTATAAATTCCCATAAGAGACATCATAACTGTGAGCCTTATTCCATTTTTCCAGTTTCTTTCATCGCTCTTCTAATTTTTTATGTTCCCACAGTAAAGAAAGCAAGAAATTTTTGTATGGCCCCAAATACCAAATGAAGTGGTCTATAAGTGGTTAGCATAAACTCGAGATCTTTGGGGTTAAAGTGCTCAAGTCCCGCAGCAAATTAATCTGGTCAACAGACGTAGTCAATGACTTGGTTTTCTGGAACAAATCATTGGTTATGAAATGTGTGAGAGGCATATTGTTGCTTTTTCTCCAGTGGAATCCATAGACACACGTCTGGCAGTTCTTGACACACATGAATCCCTTAGAACACCATTGCTTTTTTCCCTTTGATCCCTTCTGTCCGCTTCACTCATGTACCGGAAGACCAACTTAGTTCTAAGCAGAAGGATGAGAAAAGAGAAGAAACTCCATTTCTTGGAGAACATGCATACTACCTTCCCCCAAAGAATGTCGTTGCAGAAGGTACTGGGTACACTGGCAATGACAAAAAAGTTACTTGCTCCAAGAAGGGGGTCAGTAACTCCCTTACCTGATAGCCTGGAGCCAAGCTATTACACTTTATTGCTGTCATTTAGAGAATAGCAATTGTTGTTGCTGTCATCCACTTGGGTGCTCTTTCTGATGCTTTATAGAGGCCTGATACCCTGATGCCATTCACAGTCTCAGAATTGGCATAGGAGATTTCCCTGTGGAGAACAGAACACCAACCCAACATGGGTAAAAATTGCCATGGGCTAACCAGCTACTGTTGGTTCAATACCTGATACGCATTCCTCTTTGCCTAAACCAGTGAGCCATTGTCTGTAGCTAGCATCGCTTCCTTTATATTCTGCAAGGGTGAAGGTCAGGCTTCTGTGTGATATTTGCTGTCATGACAGCCAATAGCAGAACACAAGACTGGAGACAACACCAATTTAGTTCAAAAGAATCGTCTTTGCCAGGCTGCATGTGTACTGTAAGATCATAGTTCCAGTATTTTCCAGGGTCTCCTGTTCTGCATTGCAGAGATCAACTGTGGCAATGGCAGCTCATTGGGAAGGGTCATACCCAAGTCTTTCATGTCCTGGGTTCTGTGTGACCTGTCACTGAATGCATCCTGGACAGCAATAAAATCCTTAGGCAGATCCCAAGCAGGTTTATGCCTCCCACAGGGCACAAAGATGTTGCTGAAGGGTTCTGAAAAATGTTACATGCTTTTATTCTCATTGATAATTTTAGTGTTAGTCATCAGAACAGTAAAAGAAAAATCCTAATTGACAAAAGTCACAAAGGCACAGAGCGCAAAAGCTTCATTTGTTCCACTGTAAAGTTTGTTAAAGTTTATTAATCATCCATGCAGCAGATACTCAATGGTAATGAATTACTGGACATTAATTGCCATATTTAATCCCCTGAAAGGGAGAAAAACTCATTCTTTATGTTCAAGTAAACATCATGTTCACTGCATCAGATGTCTTAATATCTGCCTCTTTCCTTACCTTGTTACCCATTCAGCTAAACTGCAAGTTTGATAGGAATGTCTTAAGCCATATCAGACAATGTAAGAAACTTGAAAGATGTCTTGCTCCGATCCACCAATTTATATTCAATATTACTTCAGCCCATGGTGACTGCATCCATTTGTGCAACCTGACCAAGATCAAGCTGACCACAGCTTTTCCCTGACCGGTATCAGTTCTCTGTGTGACAGCACCTTCTAGATAATGTGATATTTCTTCCAAAAAGAGCAATGGTGTGGTACAGGGAAACATTTCCTGTTGTTATTATTGGTTTGGGGAGTTTTGTATTCTTTTTTTTTGAAGAAAGTTCTTGCTGCTTTTGAAATCTTGGGGCATTACAGAATGAAGAAGGCAGGATTGCCTCCATCAGGCTCAGCTACTTTTCTTCTGGTGCACTTATTCTAAACTTACAAGGTGCTTATTCGTGCAACCATACACCTTGCAAGCACGAAATGGTTGAGTGGAGCCAGCACTCAGGCTTTTCAGAACATTGGGCATCTTTACTAACATCTCAGCTGGGGTGACAAGATACGAATTTCTCTATCTGCCTGGATGTCTAGCATTTTGCAATGGGAGGAGCAAGCCAGGACTCTGACTGAGAAGAGGCAAATTGCAGTGCTGCATTCTCAGAAACAGAGTCAACCCCATGAGGAAATTACTTTTCTCAGCCTCTGTTTTCGAAGTAGTTTATTACTGTGGCTGAATGGAAATTTTTTTGGAGTTCACCTCACCTCTCCACTAATCCTTTGGAAGGAGTAGGGATGATGGGATGAGCCATGAGGGACTCACTGTATTTTATTTAATTTTGGAGTTTCTTCTGGAGTCTTGGAACTTTTCCGACTACCACCCTTAATATTTTCTTCCTGATGCTGGCTGTTCAAAAGGTCAAGTTCTCTGTCTCAGACGTGGAGCACATAGAGGTTTGTTTTTATTTAAAGAACATTGGCTACTTGTGCCATACTCATCAAGTTTTAGAGCACAGGTCACTCATTCCATCTGCTTTGGACTTATTCCAATCAGAGATCTTTACAAGAGGGCAATATTGAACAGCCTGCCAACCTTTATCAAATGCTTTAATGCTTTCTTTAAGTTAGCAGCTGGAGCTATTCTGTTGTCATTATTTAACTGTAACAACCAAAATTCTTTCAGTCCTGTTGGCCCTAGGGCTTATATTAGCAGAATGTGTGTAGAAATGGGGAGAAGAGGAATCCTTGCTTACTGCTGTTTAAAATCATGAGAGATCTAAGGGTCATTTATTGCCTGTTCACAGCACAGGGAGAGGCAGCAGGGCAAATACGCAGCTCTAGATGCTGCTTTTTAAAAAATACTGTCACCTAAGGAGTAGTACGTACATCTCCAGGCAGATCCCTGTGGTGGCAGTATGCCGAAGGGCTGCGCTTATGGGTAGAACTTCCTGTTCTTTTTCCCACCCCCATTCCTCCCTAAGGTGTCTTGCTTACCCAGCCCGTTGGTTTGCTGGGTGATTTTGTTGACCCACACTTTTAGCAGGGTAGAAGTCCAGTGGAGAAGCCAGGTCAGTCCTGCCAATTTACTTAGACAAATGCCGTTCCTTTCACTGAGAATACAAACTAGCTGGAGATCCACGTTTAAGTAGCACGTAAAGTGGCACTTCGAGCAACATAGAAACCTAAAGCAGAAACTCTACAAAGAGCCAAGTCAAGGAGCCAGTTCTGAGAATTTGGACTTATGTTTGTTATTTTATGAGTTGTGCTACTTTGTGAATACGAGTCAAACCCAGCAAAGGTTAGCTTTTACTTTCTTTAGTTCTGGTGCTGACTGTATATGTTGGAGTAGTTATTGCTTGTGAATTCCATATAAATATACCAGCTGTTGTTCACTACTAGTATATTCTGAATTATTTCTTTTTTATTTAAAGAATTAATTTCTGTCCTGGTTGATTTACTCTGCCTTATGTACTGTTATCTGGTAAAACTAATGCTTTAATGTAAAAGGTGCTAGTGTGCTGTCAAGTGCTCTATGATGTTTGCTAGCTAAAATCTTGGCTTCAGAGCAGCACCTGTCACAGCACTGTTGAAAAAGTGTGTGTTGCTCTTTTGTAGATGTTTAATGCTGCTACATCTGTCTTTTAAAATATCATATGCTAGTGTCAGACCTACTTTTAGTAGAAGTCACCATTAAGTAAATAGAAATGAACTGGCAAGGTAACTTTAATATGCTCATTTTTACAGAAAAGAGGTGTCTTCTGTTTTAAAACACACATAAGTGTTTTAAATATGCTGTCCATATAACGAACCTTAGGTAAAATAAAATACATGCTATCTCATTTATTAGGCTTTTTGTGCTATCATTCACTGCTTTTGCGCAGCCAGTGTTCAATGCTGTATGACTAAATTCCTCGTATCATCTTTGTATTTGACAGGTCAATATATGTTCTGTTGAAATAGAAAGGGAGGAAAGTGAAGGGGGTTTGTTCCAGAATTAAATGAGGGCCTGGCAGAGAATTGGCTTAGCTTGCTATTTTATGCAAGATATAAAATCAAAATATTTTTAAGGAAACTTCAACTAGAGGTTTTTTCCTCATTTTGGAAGAGAGAGGTGGAAAAAGAATTACTATAAATGGAAAAAAAAAATTCCACACAGAAGTCCTGTCCTGTTTCATTTGGGGTGCAGTAAAAACAACAAAAATACAACGTCAGGTAAAAGTTGTAAGCCTAGAAATAAATAAAATAAGAGCATCAGTCATTTCTATCGCTGGGGAACTTTCTTCATCTAAGCACATATGAACAATTGATCCTTGTAGTCATATATAGCAGTAAACATTAATAACTTAACAGTCTGAAGTCAGTGCTGAAGATATGGAGCATTATTGAAAGATGGAGTCGAGCAGGTGGCACTTTAATATGTTCAGTGTCATGGTTGACTCTAAAGACTAGTAGAATGAAATTACTTGAGGTTCTAAAGATTTAAAAAGCGAACTCATTTTGCTGCACTAAGGAAATGCTACTGATCAGGCTTTCTGTGTCCCTTTTTTCTAGGCTAGAAAATATTAACCCTGAAGAAAATGACATGGTAAGCCATTCTCTGAGGAGATTTCTTGATGTCAGTCTTATATCTTAGAGGCTTAAGTTCAATTGAGTGGGTTTCAAGAACTAAGATGTGGGAAAAAGAAGAATTGACACACTAATAATGTACATCTTTGCTGCAATATGAAAATTCAATAACTTCACTCAGTCAATTTACAATTCACATGTGCCTATTAATTAAAACCCTATATTAAATAAAATATATTAAAACTTCATGTCTGACTAACATATAATGCTGTTGGTAGACATTACAGGAATTACTGAACAGAATAAACAATGCAGACACAGGGATAGATATACTGAAGAATGGAGCTATAATTCTGAATCGAATACACAGGACCAAAGAACGTAAAAAGAAAATAATAGCTGAGGAAATGAACGCAGTAATAGAACAACGGGATGCTGCTTTGTCTCAAGTAAGTCTCTACAAGTATATAATCACTCAGTACCAAATTTCTTTTTTTTTTTTTTTTTTTTTATGCTTTACTTTTGGGGAAGGAAATTATTTCTTTTACTTTTCTCTTGAAAATCTCAAAGAGAGCCCTTGCAGTAAATGACTGATTAATGACCGACTGTTTTTTCATGGTAGCAGTGCCCATTGAAATGGCATCAATGCGTTTAATGAGAAGGTTTGGGGTTTTGGGTTTTTTTTGCACCTGATCACTAGCTGTCTCCTTTTTTTAAAAACAAAATAGTTTAGTGTATTGGCCAATCTAAAAAGCTGTTAAGGGCTTCATTTTGCATTATGCTGTATTGGTATAATGCACTGGATGACAGTTAACCAGGACTCAAGGATTTTTAAAGGGTTATAGGTGGCAGAAATATACATTAAAGGAAGATAATGGTACCACGTGCAACAATGCAAGCAATTCCTCCCTTTGTTGCTTTACGTTCAGGAGATAAAAATCAGCATGTAGTCCTTGACTCTCAGTCTTACGCTTCTGCTACGTGACTTGAAAGAACCTGAGGTCCCTTTTCTGCTCAGTTCACTCATTCCCTGCAATTTCCCATTTTCACAGAACACTATTGTCTTCATGCTCGTTACCGTGAAGAGTCTCCTTGCTTTTCCCATCTCATGGAAGAGTTTTTCTAATTTTTTTTTTCCCCCCACAGTTTTCTTTCCTGGATTTTAACCTAGATTTAGCTCAATAGGAACAGGCTGGATATAACTCCTTATGTATTCATTCCAGGCAAGAAATTTCATCTGACTCTTCCAATATTGAAAATTTAGATTTTCAATGTGAGTTACCAAAGTTAGCCCATGTCTAACTAATTTCTATTAAAGTCAGGTTTGTGATCTTGAGCGGTATTGATAAAGTTGATTGAATTTCTGTTGTATTGAGGAGTCTCCCCTTCTACACACCCTGTAATTTTCACTTTTTTGCAATCATTGTTTTTGCATTCTCTCCTACTTTAGCCTTGAAAGCCCCATCTGCCTGGTGCTTAAAATATTTTGTGTGTCTATCCAGTATGCACTGCAAATGATGTTAATGTTGGAAGATGTTAATATTGGAAGATGTTAATGGTGGAATTTTACTTTTTCAGTCTACTTGCTTTTGCTTTTATAATAATGGCGGGCAGCATAGCTACTGGGAAACATCCAACAGTCCTGCCAAAAGTTTAGGTTTGTTCTTTGCACAGGGCATTTGAAAAGTGAGCAGCTTATAGGAGAAAATCCTATAAAAGAAGGTCCTTTTGATTTTTTTTATTTTTGTTTTGTCAATTTTTGCCTCTGTTGAAACAGACTTTCAGGCATACTTGGACCATAAAACTTTTATGAATGTCAGAAGAATGTTGTTGTAGGGCATTTTAATAAGTATTTTAATTGAATTGATTTTTAAGCTGCCTGTTTAAGGAGTAATCTTGTCCAAGTAATCAGCTTGGAAATTAATAAAGATAATTATTTTAGATAGTAATGGATCAAGTGCCACAACTAGCAAAGCCATCTTTGGGCCTGTCAGCAAGAAGCATGGGTAATGTTAAGTAGATAGTGCAGCTGAAAAAATAAATGAATAAAATAATAAATCCCTGCCAAATGAAAATTTAAATATTTGGTATTAAGCTGTACTACTGTGATACTGTTTGCAATTTATAATACCATCATTTGAAATTATTATTATTATTAATAGAACTATTGATCATGTGCTGTGTTTTCACATATGTGATGCTTTTATAGCTGTAACTCTTGAATCTAGAAAATAGGTCCTTGGAATTGAAGCTACCATTTCAACCTGCATTTCTCACTTGATGATTCCTTGGGAATTCGTACCGTACTTGAATTATTAGTAGTCTTTTGTTAACATTGCAATAGCGGTAGTTATTACAGTGCTAACAGCAAGAACAATAGGAGAGGGATTCCTACATTAGACCACAAAGGGACTAGGTATAATTCAGGGGATGTATATGCTTAGCATAACAAATGCAAATTATTGGAAGTTAGATCTGAGGTCATTTCAGGCATTCATAACATCTGAAAGTTAAAATCTTTTTCTTTTTGGTGGAGGTGACATAGGCTGAGACAAAACAGAAAGAGTAAACCATCAGCATGCTATGGGCTGTCCGCTGGAAAAGGCATTTTTAAAATTCAGAGGTCACTGGGCAATGGGAGCTAAATGCTTCATGACACATTGTGTGAGCACCATGTTGCTCTGTTCCTCCTTGCTGTTGTGTGGTGATGGAGACAGCAATGTCATTTGAATGACCACTATAACCATGACAGCGTATGCCTGTATGACAGAGAACTGCCTGTATGATGATAAGGGTTTGAACTGACTGTGTTTAATGAAGCTGCATCTGTTATCCCTCTTGATGGTTTTCTTCACAATAGCCTGGCATTTGACAATTGAGCACGGTGAACATAAGTAGTATCTAGCTTCTGGTGTTTTACTGATTTTCCTCAGTAAGAAACAATAACACAAAAGCCTTCACAGCTCGAACACAATGCTTTGATTTCAAGTAAGGAATAGGTTACATTCCTAGAAAATGGACATTCTATGAACTGTTTCCTATGACCAAGTACAGATTACTTTCAACCTGTTTTTGAAATGCAGTTTTGCAATACTTTTCCTGGTAGTTATACTACTAAGTTGCCTTTACTGGGCTGCTATTGCAGCGTACTTGACAATGGTTAGCTAGTTGTGATATTTCTATTTGAATTTTACTTCAATAATTCTTTTATTCTTTAAAAAATGAAGATCACTGTCCATGTCTTGGAAAGGTCAAGAAAACGTTTTTCTGAGCTCTAACACCCAAGAACTTCTGCATATTTTTTTTTGAGATTTCAAACATGAATGTTACTTTTTACTAGGAAGCAGATAGAGGCACTTCTATCACTGTATTGAGCCCTGCATGTGTATGTAATCTTAGATCATTCACTAGATTGCTGAGCAAATATGCAAACTACTTTTTGTATGTGTGAAAACAAATAAAATGGTATAAACTCAAATATTTGATACTACTTTTAGTATGTATTTTCAAGTGAATAAAAACCAAACAACTAAAGCGTGGCTAAACATTGACATCCATCTTCTCCTGTACCAACCCCCTTAAAAAAACAAACTCAACTGTTTGGTTGTATTTGCTAAGATATGTTTGTTAGTGAACAGATATTGTGTTATACTGGGAAGCTTGAGTCAGTTTTATGACTGATCCTCTGAAAGGAAAATGAAGAAAGATGCTGCCTGTCATGAGAAATAAAACATCAGTTTCTTGTCTGTTATGTTCGGTTTTGTCTTAACCCATTCAAGGAAAAAACTTATTTGTCCAGTGCGTTGTACTATAGTTCTGCCTTTCTTCAAAAATCTTTCTTGCTTGAGTAATCCAATTAGTGACAGACATTTAATAAAGATTACACATGGCATAGTCACATTGTGTGATCTCCATAAAATACTTTAAAGAAGTGGTTTCCAGCAGGAGGCAATACAGTGCAATGTCTCACACTAGCCACCACCTATTAACCACATCACACCTTATGGACAGGAATGTTAATATGATTACAGGGTTGGCAGCTGAAGCTAAGGGCTTGAGTAAGTCATTACAATTACTTTTCTTCTGGTTTAGAGAAGAAAGAGGACCTTTTAATTGGTACTGCTTGAAGGAAGTGATTTTTTTAAAGCTAAATAAGACATGGCTTATAGTTCAGGAGATTGTGTTTGATATGTTTTCAGTCCTAACTTTCATTCTGTGATGTTTTTTGTTTTGATTGAGAACAGTCAGTTCTATACAGAGTTTTAAATATTAAAGGTGTAGAATTTGTTGTTAAGGAAAAACGGTGGTTTCATGGCTGGCAAAGTATCATCTGTAATACGCTGATCTTGAAGCAATAACATAACTGGCAAGCAAACCTGGTTTTACAGCTTTGAATAGTTTGATCACATCCTGCTGTGCAGGAACACGCTTATGACTGTTCATGTAAAAAATTGGCATGCACCCAGTTGCTCATCTGAAGCAAGTTTAAGTACCTTTCTCCATTTTGAGGCACTGTTTGGCAACAGGCAGCACTTTATCATCACTGAAAACAAAGCTGAGAAGCACTATGCTTGACTGCCCATCATTATCAGTTTCGACTAATGACTAATAACTGATAAATGTCTGTACTTACAACAAGCCAGCTTCTTACTTTTTTTTTTACATTCTGCTCAAGCAATTTCCCTCCTTTTACACCAAATAAGGTGTAAAGCTCTGTGTTATCTGTGATTCACAGAGCATTAAAAGGCATTCTCAGCACACGTGAGCGAACAGGTCTTATTGAAGTAATAAACTCAAGTGCTGTATGAAGTGTCAAAACAACAAAAGCATATGTAAATGAAAAAAAATGACATAGAGATCTTGGGCCCTTAATTGGGGAATACTCAGGTGATGGGTTACAATGCCTCATGACTATCCTCTCTTATGATAGAGGTAATCAATCCCTTTGCAACCCAAACTGTAGTTTGGGATGTTATTTTTGTAATTTGAATTAGCAGTTCAGTTTTAAACTCTGTGATTTGGAACCCTGTGACACTCCTTGGTTAAGGATACCAATCGAGTTCATGGTTGGCAGGAGCATGTCTGACTGTGTCCTTCTAGCTGCTCTGCCAGGATGCTTCCCCTACTGCCTTTTGCCTTTGCCACTGATATTTGCGAACAGGAAAAGAAAAGGTAGGACACACCTGTTTGTGAACCAGGCAGCTGCTGTGGGGTACTGCTGATTTTGGTCACAAACTTATTTGAAGATGGAAGTGAAGGTAAAGGGGATGTTTGTAATTTGAGGATCCAAGGACCATGCTGGTTCACTCTTATGGCTGGTTTCCTTTGGGAGGGCAACAGCAAGTTCCTGTTGCCCTCATTTGCAGTGCTTTTCTCTGAGAGGTAGCAGATGAATGGGCATGGGGAAATTACTTGCCAGCAGGATGGTGAGAGAGAGATAAGCTGTCTG